ATCAGACACAAGATGATACAGCTAGCTGCACTGATAGCCATCAGCCACTTCCGGAAGGACATTTGGTTACATCGGCTACAGCAAGGGAAAGCGCTGTGTATGCTGATCACAGCCGAAGCAGAAATCGCAGTGGTAGAAGTTCACTCTTATGCAATTACTGCGGTAAAACCTTTTCTACTGCTTGTACGCTGAAGGTTCACTTAAGATCGCACACTGGTGAGAAGCCATACAAATGCATACAGTGCAATAAGGAGTTTGGAATATTGGAAAGTTTACGGAATCATTACAGAACACATACTGGTGAGAAGCCGTTCAAATGCGATCAATGCAATTCGAGCTTCAGTCAGAAAGCAAGCTTGGGAAAACATATGCGAACTCATACTGGTGAGAAGCCGTTCAAATGCGATCATTGTGATTTGAGCTTCGGCCTGAAGCATAAATTGCAATCACATACGCTAACTCATACTGGTGAGAAGCCGTTCAAATGCGAACTTTGCGATTCGAGCTTCGGCCGGAATGGACAGTTGCGAACACATATGCGAACTCATACTGGTGAGAAGCCGTTCGAATGCGAACTCTGCAATTCGAGCTTCCGCCAGAAACAACACTTGCGAGCACACATACGAACTCATACTGGTGAGAAGCCGTTCAAATGCGAACTCTGCGACTCGAGCTTCGGGCTGAAACAACACTTTCAAAGACACATGCGAACTCATACTGGTGAGAAGCCGTTCAAATGCGATCACTGTGATTCGAGCTTCGGCCTGAAGCATAACTTGCAATCACATATGCTAACTCATACTGGTGAGAAGCCGTTCAAATGCGAACTCTGCGATTAGAGCTTCGGCTATAAAAAAAGTTTGAAAAGACACATGCGAACCCATACTGGCGAGAAAACAAGTACCGCGTTTGCGACAGAAGGATGAATGACGAACCTCCTTAATTTGGCACCAGAAAACCGTAAAATTTCAAATTCTGTTCTGTAAAGCTGATCAAATACAGCTTCTCGAGCACTCCTGAAAGCCGGGAAAGCGCAATTGCAAACACTACTAAAACCCTTCGGATGTCAATGTCTGTACCTTATTTCAGTGATATTATTTGTATACCCCCAAATGCCGGCTAGAGTTATGCCAGGCTCTTCAATCCTGAGCTGCGAGCCTTCCATAGCATCCACCGCCTATTCAGTGTATATTCACAACTTCCACTGAAGCTATCCGAGCAATCGTT